TGTTAGATGTGAGAGAACTGAAATATATGTGGAGGCACTACAACCTAACGTTTTTAAGCTGGAAACTAACCGATCATCGTTGTCTCCAACGTTTCGGTCACATAATGTTATTAACGAAAAGATACGAGCGTGTTTTTAGGCTCGGTGACTAATTTTAGTCAATTTGACCAACCGCTATTACTTCATATTATTATCGATATTTTTGTACTGCGCATCCTTTAGGTTAGGTTTCGTGCTAGGATTTACGTTCTGTGATTAAACAGATAAAGCAGTCGGCATAACTCACTCCTTTGTTCCAATATAATTCAATACTTGTAGAATTAAATGGACAATCTACTGGAGATTTTGAAAGATATGTGAAAGTGACCTCGAATGACAAGCTTTGAGATAATCATGTTCTTAAATTAACCAATTGCATGCTTTTATATTCAGTTTCAAAATGGTTGCGAACTATATGTTATTAGCGAGATAATTTCCCAAGACATGTACATAGGTAACCCTACTATTTAGTTCTTTCCTCGATTTTGTGTATACCTTTTATAATCCCATCCACTGTCTAGATTGTAACTATGAAACCTTTATAGTCGATTTCCTAACTCACTGATGCGAAGCAAGATGTATCAAATCAGCCTTGGTATTTAACCCATTAAAAAAGAGAAAAAATGTTTCATACGATCAAATCTATTTCTTCGTTTAAATACGTTATGTTAAATTTACGACTTTTAACCACTTAATATAAGCTGCATACTGATTACAAAAATATTGTCTAGTGGTAATCAACATGGTGGTTTTTATTAACAACCTATCTCGGTATGTAAGTAGGAATATTACAATTTGTATTCATAGTTCGGTACTTCTTGATTTTACTTAATATCACAGAAGAATTACTCATTCAGCATTTATATTCAGCCAAACAGCAAGAGCGATTCAGCGGTGCAGCATGGTTTAAGCCTACCCTACAGACGATGTTTTTATCTGTCGACGCAAACTATATTCTTACAGAAAATGCTTGTGTACGAAAGTATCCCTATTAAATTCTATTACTCAACCCATTTATCATAATGCACTACATTCATAGGCCATTACAGTCATCATGAATGAGGTATAGCTTGCCTACAAAACTATATACTACAGCATGCTGGTCATTATTTCCGTTGCTCATTAACAGTGTCACTAAATTGTGGTCACATTGAATCGATGGTTCTTACCACTCATATCTATAGTTATGCAAATCACAATAGATTCATGATAGGTCCTGATTCGGTGCATTTCATCTTTCTAGATATTTCCACTGATTACACAATTAATTCACTGAAAAGAAACAATGATTTTTGTTCAGTAAGATATTTTACTACGATTACAACAGATCAATAATATACTGATATTTTCTCCAATGAATCTAAACGACGATACTTGTCTTCGTTGCCACCATCATCAGACGAACTTTTTAGTTTATCACCATCCATATCTTCCATTTCAGCTACATTATAGGGTACCCTCTGTTGACTCCCCTGTATTGCTTCTTCGTTTATTGTTTTGAAAGGGCTCCCCAGAGCCGGTCTACGGTAATCTTGCACTGCATACACGTATTGTAAGTTATTTGTGTCATATTCATTTCCTGGACTGTCCATTGGGGGATTGGGTGTTAGCTCGTTCCAGTACCCACCAAAGTTGTTGTTGTCATAATCTTGGAAATTGGTTAAATACTTGTTTGGTGTACGATAAGGCAGCGTATTGATTCCAGGAATAATTATCATTATAAGATTCAACAACCACCACGACATATTATAGTTTTTAATTAAGTGATCTGAAAGTAATTATTAGATTTTTTTAATAAATACGAAAATAAATAACAGTTTTGTGAATATTACTCATAGTTCAATATCTTTTCAGTTTATAATTCATTGGACCACCGTGATTTTTGCTCATATCTGTAATTGCAATAAATCACTGGAATAGAAAGCTAATCAAGTAAATCATTATGAATGGAAGTTTAAATCGATTTCCGTATACTTTGCTGATTGTATGAATATTATCATTCAAATTGAGATCAATTATTCTGGGTGATTTTGTATTTTTTTCTCCCCAGAAAATATATTTGATCACTTATCAGTTACGTAATGTATATGGAATGTTGAAACTACTAAAGTTGGTTGTTTTGGTAAAACTAGTTAATGAAAGTTAGCAGATGAATCCAAATTATGTTTCATTTTATTTGAATCTTATCAGAAAAAATTAATTCATATCTTAATGTTTTTAAATTTTCATCAACACTCCAACTGAATATTTATCATACAAATTATAAACATTCTTATGGACAGAAATTTTTATTTCACGATTGATGAAAGATTATCACACATCAACTAAATGTTACGTTTGAACAAGCATATTGGAAAATTTTTATTCATTTATCATGCAATAACACTGGAAGACATAACGTTTGACTCATTAATCATCTGGCTAAATATTATAGCTAGGAATAAATTGTTTAACAGGTATTTAATATAATACTAACCACATTAATTTTAATAGAACTGTAAATACACGGTTAAGCATTACGTTTTTCTTTGTGTGAAATGCCATGGAGAACTTGTCTTTCTTTGTCTCGATATTAAGTGAAGAATTCTTATACCTGTTCATTTTCATGTATTAATAAATACATTTTCGTTCCAACTAGTATAAACCTTACCGACCATAATAAGAATGATCTTTAGAGATATCCCAACGAGTAAAACGGTTGAGGTTGGATGAATGGTCAAGCCTTCTTTCCTATTGAGGGCAGAGATTTAGCATTATATGAAATACTTATGCCATTCGCCTTTTTTTATAATAGTTCGAAAAATTTGAATTATTTTGATATTTCTAATATCGATTTGATGAT